ATTCGTTTGATGTTATGATTGTAAATTTATAATTTTACGTGATATTATAATTATAGTATTTTTAAAAAAAAATAATTCAAAAAATAATATTTTTATATTATTTTTTAATTTAATATTATGTGTGATTTAAATAATTAACTTTTTTTATTTATTTAGAACATATAATATTAAGAAAATCTACTCATATAAAGATGATATAAAAAATCATAAAAAAATTATCTCTTCACTGCACTTGCCGACAAAATAATATAAATGAAGTGGTCTCCAAAATTTGGTTCTCTTGTCCAATTAATTAGCACATGCAAAACAGAGCCGTTAAGTGTTGATCTCATTCTCAGATAGAGGAAAAGCGGTTTAATTTAGTCAATAGTTCAGTAATTATGTACTTTTTATTTATTATATTTATTATCTATTTTTTATATGTAAATAGTCTATTAACTCTAAAAAATATACCAAATTGATCTATCCTATTAAATTCCTGTTAGCAAAACTAACGAAAATCTATGTTGGTCTTTATGTTGTGCCTACCTGGCACCATGTAAGCACCAGGTCCTCAAACAAATTAACATTATTGGCCATCTAAACTTTCAATTAAATAATATTTAAATTAAACTAATTAAATAAATTTGACTTTGAATTTGACAAAAAAATTAAGGACTAAAACCCAAAAGAACATCTTATTTTATAGTTTAAATTGTATTAAATTATAAAACAAAAAAAACTATTAAATGAAAATAAGACTTCTAATATAAAGACTCACCTTATTTAATAATTATAATTGTGCATTTACATATATACAATCTAAACTATATGATACTTTTTTCATAAATAAAATAGATAAAATAACTATAGTTATAATAGATTATTAGTCAAATTTAACCTATACATTTATGATGAAAAATTGCCTCTTCTGGCATAAAAAAAAACCCTAATAGTTAAACTTTAACCTTCAATTTTAACTTTAATTAAAAAAATTGGAGAGGACAAACGCACCTCTCATTACCAATGCTAGCATAATAGGAGGAATGGCAAAGAGAATGAGTTGAGGAAGATGACTAGCAAAAGAAGTAAACTTTTTCAGAGGATGGTTGGTTGAAAGAAGCAAAAAAGAACCACTTCTGACAATTTTGATAAGTTTGTCGACAAGATCAAGTGAAGTGATTAGAAAATAATAAGATTATTAGGTAGTTCTTATAGGATTTGTTTTGGGTTATATCCGAAAGGGAAGGAGAAATCGAGTGCCGTTAACAAGCTAGAATGTGTTAAGAAATCCATTTTTGCCTAGCCGTACAAATGTAGTAAGGAAAAGGGGGAAAGGAAAAGAAAGGAGGATCGAGGAAAGCACGAGAAGATAATGGCATTTACGTTCATTTGGGTTTTTGTCTTTTATATATATATATATATCAAATTCAAAATTAAATTTATTTAATTAGTTTAATTTAAATATTATTTAATTGAAAGTCTTTTTTTCTTTTTTTCTTTTTTTTTTTCCTGTAGAAGTTTAATTGAAAGTCTGAACGACTAATAATTAAAGGAAAATCATTCAGAATAATATTATATTTTGATATAATTTTATATATTAATTAATTAATTTTTTATTTATTTTGAATCTATAATATTAAATGTATCTTTTTATTTAATAACATATAAAATTTTTATAAAAATATTATATAAAAATTATTCTTATATTATTGTCTATAATTTTAGTTTGTTTGAGGACATGATGCTTACGTGGTGCCAAATAAGCACAATATAGGGGAGTGCGCAGATTTTCGTTAGTTCCATTGACAGAGTTTTAATAGACTAATTTGATATTTTTTTAAAATTAATAGATTAGTTAAATATAAAAAGAGATTAGTATATAGCAGTTTTGTTTTTCATAAATAATTGAAGTTTTAAATTATATATAAAAAAAGAAATCCCATCCTATTAATTAAATGTTGCTATCTAAATTTAAAATTTTTATTAGATATTTTAATATAATTAATTTTTAAATCTAAATATTAATATTTAATAAAATAATTTTTTAAATTTTAAATTAA